CCATTCAGGACATAGGTGTAGGCAAGGACTTCATGACCAAAACACCAAAAGCATTGACAACAAAAGCCAAAATAGACAAATGGGACCTAATCAAACTCCACAGCTTCTGCACAGCAAGAGAAACAGTCATTAGAGTGAATTGGCAACCAATAGAATGGGAAAAAATTTTTGCAATCTACCCATCTTACAAAAGGCTAATATCTAGAATCTACAAAGAACTAAAACAGATTTATAAGAAAAAAACAAACAAGCCCATTCAAAAGTGGGCGAAGGATATGAACAGACACTTTACAAAAGAAGACATATATGAGGCCAACAAACATATGAAAAAATGCTTAGCATCAGTGGTAATTAGAGAAATGCAAATCAAAACAACATTAAGATACCATCTCACACCAGTTAGAATGGGGATCATTAAAAAATCTGGAGACAACAGATGCTGGAGAGGATGTGGAGAAATAGGAACACTTTTACACTGTTGTTGGGGGTGTAAATTAGTTCAACCATTGTGGAAGACAGTGTGGCGATTCCTCAAGGACCTGGAAACAGAAATTCCATTTGACCCAGCAATCCCTTTACTTGGTATATATATAAAGGATTATAAGTCATTCTACTATAAGGACACATGCACACGAATGTTCATTGCAGCACTGTTTACAATAGCAAAGACTTGGAACCAACCAAAATGCCCATTGGTGATAGACTGGACAAGGAAAATGTGGCACATATAAACCATGGAATACTATGCAGCCAATGAGTTCATGTCCTTTGTAGGGAGATGGAGGAACCTGGAAACTATCATTCTCAGCAAACTGACACAAGAACAGAAAATCAAACACCGCATGTTCTCACTCATTGGTGGGTGTTGAATAATGAGAACACATGGACACAGGGAGGGGAGCATGACACATTGGGGTCTGTCGAGGGGAAATAGGGGAGGGACAGTGGGGTGGGGAGTTGGGGAGAGAGAGCATGGGGAGAAATGCCAGATACAGGTGATGAGGAGGAAGGCAGCAAATCACACTGCCATGTGTGTACCTATGCAACAATTTTGCATGTTCTTCACATGTACCCCAAAACCTAAAATGCAATTAAAACAAAACAAAAAAACAAAAACAAACAAAAAAGGATCAGTAACAGTGCTGTGCAGTTTATTGGAACAATGCTGGCCAGTGGTCCTCTTCTTGGATTTTCTCCACACCTCATGGTCTGTCTGCTCTTCCCCTCCTTTCTCCTTGGGTTGAGCAGGACCACTAATCAATTTTTAATGGGGCTCTAGGATCTGCTAAGCAGAAGCTTACCACCCCGCCCCCTCCCTCAACATGCAGTGGGACCCTTTTCCACCGAATGGCTGTTTTGAATAAAACTCTTTGAGTTTCTCAATGAACTTAACTGGTAGCTACTGTCTCCAGCAGCCTGTAGGGGTTCCTTTGGGGCAGCCTTACTGTCAGGGGTTGGATTGTGGGAACAGTTTCAATGACACAATCAGAATGTAAGAGCATAAGAGGTTTTTATTACTTACAGATCCTCAAGCTAGGCAGGGCGATCAGAGAGGGGCAGACAGCAGTTCTCTGTCCAGAGGCTCATGGTAGCAAAAGCAATGTAGGCATGAAGGGGAGGGCTTCCCCTGTTTAAGGGTCACCTAGGGTGGGGTGTCCTAATTTCACCAGGTTATTTTTCTGCTGGGTACTTTAAATAGCAGGTTGGCTCAAAGCTGGATTTAAAACGGGGGGCTCCATGGAGGGACTTCTGTCTACATTAGTTAGCCTTGGCTGGACCTAGGCATCAAGCAACTACGGTTTCTCCACTACTTCAGTCAATGGCCCCAGCCACTCACCACTGTGTCACTTGTCTGCCTACCTCCCCTACTAGACTGCAGACTCCTTTGGGGTGGGAAGTATTGTGTCTTCTCTTTGAGTCTGACATGGGATAGCCCTTTGGTAAATGTTCCCTAAGTGAATAAATATGTGTTCAATATGAGAGGCACTCTTTTATAGAGAGATTGGGGTTCTTAACCATATCACATCTTCTTCATACCTTTTTCTTTCACTTTTGGTTGGGTGCATTTGGGGCTCTTTCTGGAGCCCTGTTGAGCAGGAGTCATTGGCATTTTGGGAGACACAGCTTCCTATTGCCCTGTGCTGTTACCTTTGCCACCAGTCCTCCCCTTTGCCCATCTTCATGGCCACTGCCTCTTCCACATCCCACACCAGTGCTTCTGGGAGGTTTACTTGTCTTCTCCTGTGGGAAGTGCTCCTTCTCATAATCCCCAGGAGCACTTCTGTGCCTTCATCAGTTAGTTGCAGAGCTTTCTTTTCTCTCCCATTCAACCAGGGGGTAGCCAGAGGGCAGAGGCAAGGTTGATCTCATCTCTAATTTTTTTGGAACAAAGTTGCTGCTAGCAGTTTTGCTTTCAGTAAGAATTACCCTATTATAAAGATTCCATATTTACAGTATACAAAAGGGGTTTTAGAACCATGATCTTATTTAATCTTAACAGTGACCTGTGCAGTAGGAGCATTGGGTGGATCATTCCCTTAGAACAGATGAAGAGTCTGAGGCCCAAAGAGGGGAAGTGTCCTGCCTAAGATGACTCAGCCAGTTGGGGACAAGCATGGTGACAGCATGAGTCTTCTGCCTCCTGCTAGAGCCTGAATCCCAGAGTTCTGCACAGCCTCCCTGAAGAGCACCAACCTCCTAGGCTCTGATTGCTCTGCCTGAATGAGTAGAGTCCATCAGTACAGACTGTGGAGCGCTCTTGTTCCAGTTGTCCTTCCTCTCAGCTAAGGGAAGAAAAGTCTTCCCTCCCCAACACTGTTTCATGCAAGTGCTCTAAGGAATAGTCTGCTCCCAAATTGTACCATCCAAGAGGCTCTCCAGGATGTCACAGTGCTAGAAAGTGCTAATTATACACGATGGCACTGTCTCCTCAATCAGCTCAGTAACCTTGTCCTCTTTCTTCAAATAAATTATTCCATGGATACATTCATTAGCTGACTGATGGAGTAATTTAATCTACTAGCATTTGGGGAGACTGTGTTATTCACCAGGCCCTGGCCTAGGTGCTGGGGATTCAAAGGTACATAACGCTTATACGGCCCTGCATCCTAAGGAACACTGCTGGGCTTGGCTTGTTGAAACTTGGATTGGGAATCACAGCCATAAATAAAAATTCCAGAGGGGAACCTCTCCATATTGGGGGTTGTGAGCTTCTGGACCCTGGGCAGAGCTCTGGGGTGCTGGGGTTGTTGGGCATGACTCACCTCTGCTCCCCTCTCCAGGTATCATCATTACGATGACACTGTGTGACCAGGTGGATATTTATGAGTTCCTTCCATCAAAGCGCAGGACCGACGTGTGCTACTACCACCAGAAGTTCTTCGATAGTGCCTGCACGATGGGCGCCTATCACCCGCTGCTCTATGAGAAGAATTTGGTGAAGCATCTCAACAAGGGCACAGATGAGGACATCTACCTGTTTGGAAAGGCCACACTGCCTGGCTTCCGGACCATTCATTGCTAAGCATAGGCTCCTCACTCTTCTCCATCAGGCACTGAATGGATGGTCTTTGGCCACCCCAGCCTGGGAAGACCATTTTCCTGAACAATTCCAGTCTGCTTCTTTTACTCTAGGGGACTCTGTCAGCAACAGCACTAGGGCTTCAGGAGCCTGTGGTCAAAAAATCAGGTCCAGCCTTCCCTGTGGCCAGTTTATGAGCCCAGAGCCTCCTCCCACACACATGCACATATCCCTAGCATTCTTTCCAGACAGCATCCTCCCCACCTTCCACCGTGGTAGATGCAAAGTCTACCTCCCCCATCAGGGATGCCAAAGCTGGGCTTTGTTTTTCCCAACAGAAAGATGCCATTCTTACAGACCAATGCTCTATATTGCTTGGAATCTGCATCTAAATATTGATTTCACATTTTAAAGAAATTGTCCCAAATTACCATTGTGCTCAATGCAGGGTGCTCTGGCGGGGGCAGGTAGGTGGTACAGGGGATTGGAAACATGCTCAACTCCTTCAGAACAAAGTTGCTCCCAAGGTCCATGCCCCTGGAACATGTTCCTATCACTCTGGCTGGTTGGGCTCGTCCTTAGACTGGGTGCTTATGAGCAAAGCGTCTTGATTAGTCCTCTTTTTCTCTCCATGTGGAGATGGAAGATACGGAAGGATACAGTCTCTGTCCTCAAGTTGCTCCCATTCAGTGAGAGAGACAGATATCTGAACAGGCAGGTAGGATTCAGTGTGCTCAGCACACTGGGGACTTGTAGAATGATGGGCTTGCTCTCTGAGCACCCAGGAGGGCCACACACTTAAACTGTGTTTGTGGATCAGAGAAGACTTTGTAATATCGGGGGCATTCAAATGAGTCTTAGAGGGAGAGAAGAAGCTTGGCAAGCAGATTACATCTGAGTCATTTGACTTGTGTTTTTTTCTTCCCATATTTATTCTCTAAGATCTACCTAAACTTAGATACTCAAGATATTTTTTTGAGGAAACCTCCTACCCATGTCTGAGGTAGCAAGTGCAGCCTCATGACAGATACCAGGTAATCCAGATCCCCAAAACCTGATTTCTCCAGGCTCAGCTGGGCCTGACCCTAACCTACCAGCTGGGTTTGCACACCATACTTCTTCCACTCTTCCTTTTTAATACCTACCCCCAAATCTCCTCCTAGCCACCACCT